GGAACACCAGGAAGGTGAGGTCACAGAGAAGTCCCTTGTCTTGGCTGCTGAGCTCGCTGGCTGAGGTGAAGCCCGGCATGATCCCCCCTTCCTCTCCCAGAGGTGGACGCAGAGGACCCTGAGAGGAGCACCACAGAGGCCACCACCCTCTCCCGGAAAATAGACCTCCTCTCTTCTATCTACCGCAGGCCCAGTCTGCTTTTCTCTTAAAATATGGCATTGTTTCAATTGCATTAAATAAAAAGTCCCTCTTCTTGCGTTCTCTCACATGTGTGTTTGTGAGCAAGCTGTACATCTCGGAGTGAGCATTTTCGATGAGGATTCGGGAGCAGTAGAAGCTGCGGGCAGTGGGGACCTGCACCTCCTGGCTGAAGCGCCCCACCAAGTTTTCATTTACAATCCCCTCACTGGCTGCAAAAAAGGCTAAGATGTGAGAGATACAATACTTCTCACAGAGTTTGAGCCTGTTCCAGAGGGACAGATCATTTAATAGGTCAACCTCCTCTGCAGTCCAATCTCCCAGACGTCGGGGTACTGGAAGGGAAGATGACAAGCGACGGGAGCTCTTTCTGAGGAGCCGCTCTTCGTTAGAATCCACTGCATTTTCGGTGGTATCTGGAGATAACCCCTTGTCCTGCGCTCTTCCGGCTGCGCCGGGTCTCCCATCGCACAGGTTCGCACAGCCCGGGAACCTGAAGCCCAGCGCCGCGCGCCAGCTGGACAGGTCAAAAACCAGAGCAACAGCGTCAGTGAGCCAGGCGGCTATGCCCCAGGACCCTCTGCTGCGCCTTGCCCGGGCTTTGTGGCTTTTAGAGCAGAGTAAACACCCTTGAAATTTACCTAAGGTGTCTTCCTTTTCCAATAGTAATTATTGTGCTGTCCAGTGTTGCTTTGTATGAAATCACATTTTTGTTTTTGGTTTTTTTGTTTTTTTGTTTTTGGATTTTTTGTTTGTTTGTTTGCTATGGAGCCATTAATCTCTAAAAGGGTTTATTGGAACATGTTTGCTGAGTGACTTGTACCAAAGACCTCTTCCAGGAGTAACTACTGAAGCCTGAGGCACAGTTGAGGCATCTGTGACTACTGGGCCAATCTGATGACTCCGCAACAGCCTTGGAAGTGGTGAGCATCTGTGCCCTGAGGAATCATCCTTCTCTCCTGGGAAAAGGGTTCAGAGACTCCTCGACAGTAATGAAGTTTCTGACTCTTTGAAAGCATAGAGAACACTTTAATACCGAGCTTATCTGCAAGCTTTCTAATGAGGCCCCAGGTGACTCACTGGTACAACACAATAAAACACAAACCTTCTTGACAAGAACCAATTCCCTGGACACCATTTTAATTGCTTGAAAACTACAAAATGATGGATTTAATCAGCTACCAATTGTTCTGTGTGCAACATGGGCTATTTCCAGTCACAGGTTTCAGGAGGCACTAATTTCAGTGCAAAGTAGTAATTGCTACTATCTCTAGTCTTGCAGAGAAAATGAATAATTATAGGGTCTTTCAAATTCATTCCAGTTACTCATTCTTTTTACATTGGCAGGCAAAACTCATGTATCAAAGCTTCAAATTCTTTGTTTTTCATTTATATGGGCTATGATGATGTAATAAAATATTTAAAATAGAGAGCTGGGGATTTAGCTCAGCAGTTCGGTGGCATGCCTCGCAAGCTCAAGGACCTGAGTTCGATCCCCGGTACCAAAAAAAAAAAAAAAAAAAAAAAAAAAAAAAAAATTAAAATAGAATTAATCAGTCCTTCACTCTTTTTAAATACATCACAGAGGTAGTAAACAATAAACAGTAGGGAAGATGCCAGCTAAGAATATCAATTTTAAATTGGATTATGTGCAGGTTTTGTTGCAGCACAGTGGTAGGGCACTCACCTAACATGCAGGAAGCCCTGAGTTCAAGCCCCAGCACAGTGAACAAAACGTGGATCCAGAGTAGACTGTGAGTTTGAGCAATGACACTGTCATTGCATATGTTACCCAAGGAGAGTTCTTTGCCAATCCTTAGGCCTCACTGCTTATCTTTCACAGATGCCTGTGGCTCCTCTCTGACATGCTGTTGTGAATGTCAGATAAATATTAACTACATTAAATGGTGTCCAAGAATTAGCTTTCATCGTTCAACTATCCTAATAACAATGTGTTGTTTTCTACAGTTATTTCAAGTTACTTGTACATTTAAATTTTAACTTATATTCATTTAGAACACAAAATGATTTAAGTCACAATGGCTGTGGTAAAGATTTCTGTAGTATAGTGATGGTGAAACTTTTAGAGATCACATGTCAAACCTGAAATCCAAACCTATTTATTTATTGCAAAATGCCCACACTACTATTAAACCAGAATGCTCAGTGGCTGGGGCTATGCTAGGAGATTTGCCTCACATTCTGAGAGAGAAGGCTCTGCTTGTGCACTTGTGCCATAGTTCTGCCACAGCTGATTTAAGGTGCTATTTTTCACTATCAAATGGTCTGGGTTAAACTGTATTTAACTGATATTTCAAAATTACATGATTTCATTCTTAAGCCTCTGTAGACTGTATGGACTCAGAGCTGGTGCTTAGTGAGCAGCATTTGTAATTAGGATATAATTATAGCCCTACCAACCATTAACATTTTTCTTTGAGCTACTTGCTTAGTAACTCCAATTTCTGAGTTTTCACCACTGAAAATTGAAATGATAATATCATATTTACTTGAAAATTGCTTAGATAAATCACTAAACCAGGAACCACAAGGTAGCACAAATATTATCTATTTTATATCATTATATGCTGTAGATTGAATGTATGTGTCTCCCACAAGAGCCATATGTTGGAATTTCAGGTGCAATATGACAGCATTAGGAGGGACATTTCTGGAGGTAGTCCCAAGAGGGGAGCTCCCATGAATGAGACTACTGACCTGAGTTCTAGATGGGCCCTCATGAGGATACAGCATCCAGCCCTTAGGGGATGCAGCCATATACAGCAGCCCTTACCAGACATCAGATTTGCTGGTGTCTTGACCTTGCACTTCCAGCCTCCACTACTGGGAGAAATAAATTTCTGTTCTTTATTAATGATCCAGTATTAAGGATTTTGTTATAAAAGCACAAATGAACTGATAAATTAGTCCCATATAATTACAGTGTATGTAAAGCTGCTGGAGCAGTTCTGGAAGAGGAGAATTGGGTAGAGGTTGGAAGAGGTCAGAGGTGCATGATAGGGCTGAACATTGAGGGCAGTTCTGTAAGAGAGCAGGCTGTACAAAGCTGCCTTTACAGAGATCACAGAAGTGGTCCTGAGAATATTGGTAGAAACATGAACAGTAAAGGGAATTCTGATCATGCAAACATAAATGAGAAATATGGTACTGAGAAATGGAGGGAAGGCCATTCTCTTTATAATGTACCAACACCTGAGCCATAGTTTGTCCATATCCCACTGTTTTATGGGTGGCAAAATATAATAGACTGACATTAAGTAAATGTTAATAAGTTTTAATAAATTTTAACATGAGTAATACAATATTGCAGGAAATATATTTAACAATATATCTTTACCTTAATATTTTCAGAAATCTTGTGATAAAGTTATTGTTTTCTTTAAAAACAGAAGGAGCTCAGAAAACAGGGACCTTATCTGAAATAACACAGGTAGAGTAGTACAAGATACACAATAAAAAGTTCCTACAGTGAAGCAAATACTGACACTGATCTAATTTGGGCCAAGACAATGCTCCCTTCACTGACAGGGAAATCAAATGATAGAAGAAAGATCCTTTGATTTTCAAAAATGTTCTTTCTGTCCATTGAGCATTGACTTCAGTTAACGACTTCCATGGCCTTCACACCATCCTGCAGTCAGAAGATGCCCAGTGTCTTGGCAGTGAGTCCTCTGAGAGTGTCCATCACTTACCTGCATTCAGCTCTTGTACCTTGTTCTGTTCATATCTATTAAGGAGTAAAAGGAAATTAATAGAATTAGATAATATTAATAAAATGAAAACAAAAAAATAGAAATAAAGAAAAAAAGAATAAAACCTCAACCTCATAAAATCAACAAAGAAAAAAACTACATTCAAAAAAATTCCTTTATAGTTTTGAATGAGTAATACTTTTCTAGTATCTCCAGTTTTAGAGTCCAGCAAGTCATAGCTTTCTCCATCTAGTTTCACAGCCTGTAGGTTGGTGAGGTGTCCACATTCCAGAGCCTCCTGTGTCCACTTTAGGCTGCTATAATCATCCAATCTGAAGTGTGTCCTTGCTCACATTGGTAGATGAATAAATCAATCAGACCACTCATGTGTGTGCTGGATGTAGATAGTGGAGTGGGGGTTCAACTGCACATAATAACAACACTTTCAGATCCAGCCACTTCTGAAGGCCACATAGTCCAGGCCTGGCTTCTCACAGTGGAGACTGAGGTCCTGTGCCTTTCCTATCCTTAGCTCAATCTTCTTTGTGGGTCTATGTCTAGCCTACATCTTCTCCACTGTATCTTGCATCGAGCTTTCACTCAGTCACTGTGGAAGGTAACACTTGAAACCCTGAAGTGAAGTTGTTTTGTAGTTATTCTGTGGTTCAGTCTTAAACAACTCATTCCAAATTGGTTGGTTGTTGATTAAACCCTCTTTGATATGGTGGATGCTACACTGGATTTCTTCTCCAGCTCTAGTATGCCATGAAGAAGGAACCATCTTCAGAAATAAACCCATGCTCTTTTTCCAGCTGTGGACTTTTCTTGGGACTATCACCATCAGCAAGGTCTATTTTTTAATTCCAGAGCTGCCAACCCTCCAGGCTTACCATCTCTCCCCAGGCATTGGCCTTTTACACATGATGAGATTATGAAATTTATTTTCTTATTCCTTCATTGGTTCAATTTACTCAGAATTTCTGAGAGAAAAACAAATATCAAGTAAACTAATCATTTATTACCAGTTAAGTAATGCAAGTCTCAATGTAAATCAGACATTGGGGTCATTTGTTCTGTTGTTGCTGCTTTCAATCTTTGTACAGCTTCCTCCACAATCTTTTCTTGAGAGCCAGCATCACCTCCTTATTTCTGAGAGTGTAGATCAGAGGATTCAGCACTGGGGTGATGGCACTATATATGATGGACACCATCCAGTCCTCACTCATGGTGGTGGCTGAGGCAGGGCAAATGTAGGTAAACCCCACAGGGCCATAGAAAAGGCACACCACCATGAAATGGGAGGCACATGTGGACAGCGCCTTGTGCAGTGCTCTAGAGGAGCAGTTCTTGAAGAGAAGGAAGCCAATGATGTAGAAGTAGGAGAGGAGTGTGAGCAAGAAAACTCCCATGGACAGGGTTCCTGTGACAATGGAAAGAAGCCACTGGTTGAGTCGTGTGTCACTACATGCCAGTTCCAAGAGAGGTTTGACATCACAAAGGAAGTGATTGAGCTTCTGACAGTGGCAAAAGCTCAGTTGAGCAGTCATGACAGAATGCATCAGTGCATAGAAGAAGCTGGAAATCCAAGCACACATCTGGAGGCTCATGATGGCAGAGTAGTGAAGCAGGTTGCAGATGGCCACAAAGCAATCAAAGGCCATGATGGCCAGCAAGACAGCCTCAGTGCAGCCCAGAAAGTGGAAGAAGTGAAGCTGAGCAATGCAGCCTAGGAAAGATATGGCCCTACGAGTGCACAGGAGGTTCATAAGCACCTTCAGAAGCTTCACTGAGGAATAGCAAATGTCCAGACAAGACAGATTGCCCAGGAAAAAATACATAGGGGAGTGGAGTTTGGGTTCCAAAATTACTATGCCTAATATTCCTCCATTTCCAACCAAGTTAATCAGATAAATGATTTAAAACATCTCAAAAAAGATGGGCTGAAGCTTCTGACACTGGTCAGGCCAAGTAAAAGAAACTCAGTCACTGTGGTGACATTCTCCATCACTTTGCAGGAAAAATGTGACAATTACCATGAAGTATTTTTCTGAATTTTTAATTTTATGCAGTGGGGGTTAAGTGAAACAAGTTTTCTGTTTGAAGGACCCAGATGTGAGCTGCAATGTAAATCATAATTATGAGTAGTAAAGGGCTGGGATGTAGCTCAGACATTGAGCACTTGCCTAGCATACTCAGGACCTTGAGTTGAATTCCAAGCACTGGAAAAAAAGAAACAAATAAAAAAGTAAAATAAGTTGACTTTTATCAAATTAAGGAAGACAAATAACTGTTAAATGCTTGCCCCACAAAACAAATTACACTAAAAAGGTATGGCTGTATATTCTGCATACATTAGAAACAGATAAAAGACACTTTTTACAAGGAAGATATGTAAGACCTGCACACAACCTCATGTATAGCATTAGAATTAGAGGTTACACAAATTTAAATCATAAAACACTTTTTTTTAGTTTGTGATTCTTGGTTCTAGAAGTCATCCAGATGTACCTACTTGGGAATTTATCCTCTTCTCTTGTAGTATGAAAATACCACAAAAGATCAACACATCCCTCTGACAACTTAAATCTCTAGTGAAACTAAGAAACATAAAAATCCACAAAAATATTGTTTAAGTTGGAGAAGGTACAGTACTGCATTATTACTCACAAGACTACAGCACAGCATTGTGATAGTCGGTGCAGGTTTTTTAAAAAATTCAAATAGTGAGAGGCTATAATCACAAGAAAACTTTGAGAAAAAAAAACTCATTTTTTT